TTAAGATTTTATATAAATAATATTTTCACCCAAATTTATGATTTTATTTTATTTATATTTTATTTAAATAAAAAAAACTAAATTATCAAATAAATCAAAAATCCAGGTCAAATGTTAAATCTCTTGCCATGTAAGCATGACATGGCAATATTTTGCCATCCAAGCAGCCAAGCAGCCAAGCAGCCAAGCGGAGTGCGTCCTCAACGGCAGTTAAGTTGGTGTAAGAAGAAAGGCTTAATTGCTTTGATCCCAGAGTTTAAGGGCTTAACTGCATCAATTAAAGTCTAGGTGCTTAATAGTGATTCTAGGATTAGTTCAGGGGCTTAACTTAAGGTTTTGCCTTTTTTCTAATATTGATAATATCAATATCTGTTCTTAAGAAACGAGAGAGTATCAAATCTGAAACTCAAACTTCACTTTACCAATGATGCATCACTTTATTTCTCAAAAAGAAGAGGCTAGCTACTTGGGCCACATTGGTGAATGGCTATTATCTTGGTAGTTGTCCTCTTAAAGTCAAACACGTCATTTTTTTTTTTTTGAAAGCTCTTAATAAATTTTTAATAAAAAAATAAAAATCAAGATATATTAATATTTTTAATGATTGGGCTCTTTTTAAAATTATTTAAAATCGAACATGTCATCTTTTTATTTTTTGAAAGCTCTTAATAAATTTTTAATGAGAAAACACTTGGGTCTTATAGCCCAACAACTATATATTGATTTGTAAAGGTGCATCCTCAGCCCTAACCCCTACCTCCATTATAAACCTGTTCAAAAAATTTATAATGAGAAAAGTAAAATAAAGATGTATTAGTATTTTATTAAATTATTGAACTCCTTTTAAAATTACTTAAATATTTTTAATTATTTTTTTGTGTCAATTCATTAAGAATATGTTAATATTGTTATTATTATTTTAATATTTTAATTGTCATTATATCCTAATTTTCCTCCATCACATTTTTAATACATTTAAGTACAAATTTAGCACTTGATATATATATATATATATATCGGGAAAGTGCGTGTCAGTCCCGCCTCTGAAAACAAAAAATTGGAGTCCTAACCAAACGACGTTGTTTTCTCCCAAAATATACAGCCTGCTGTTCGTCTTTTCTCTCAAAAATCCCCAGCCCCTGTTCCTCGCTCCTCCAATTCATTCAATTTTTCACTAAAAAATCCAGCCACTGCTGCCACCCCCCTCTGCAATCATCTTCATCTCCTTCTTCACCCTTTTTGCAATCATCTCACGCCGCCGACTCAACTCTGCTGCTGCAATTCATCATCTCCACTAAGTGCTTTGTTGGATCTCTTTTTTTTTTTTTTAGTTTTCAATGTAAATTTCTCAAGATGAAATTGATGGGAACAACTGCGATTCCTTCAATTTTTCACTCAAAAACCTAGTCCCTGCTGTCACCCCCTCTGCAATCATCTCCATCTCCTTTTTCATAAACCAGAAACGAAATTCATTGAAGAGAAAATATTTACTTTTTTTATTCTTGTTTCTATTTTATTGCTTCTCTATTTTGTTGCATAAAGCGAAGCAGTTGTTGGATTTCCTTTGCATAAATTTAGGGAAATGCTATTTTTAGAGTAAGTTTTGGGTGGTACTTATTCCTATCATTTCCGGAATTGTGGTCCCTTTGCTTTCTTCCTTACAATCCTCATAATTTGTTTGGCACTTTGTTCATATTGGAGATGATGAAGATGATTGCAGAAGCGGCTTAAAGGAGATGGAGATGATTGTAGAAGGGGCGAGAAGAACTAGGGCTGGGATCAAGAAACGACGTCATTTTTGGTTGGGACTCCAATTTTTTTTGGGAGGTAGGACTGATCCGCACTTTTCCGTATATATATAAAGTATAAGGGTCTCCGTCCAAGTGCTCCTATTTCGGAAAGAAAATATTAGGGATTAGCCCTAACCCCCAAGGCAGCGACACAAACCTATTATCACTCAAACTTTGCCAATATATTATTTCTTTAAAAAAGGCAGAGTTGAGTAAAGGTGAAAAAAAAGGATATCAATTTTACAATTTTTTTTTTTAATTTAAGAATGTTAACTTTCTCAATTTCTAAATAAGGATCACTACAAGCAAAATGCCTTATACCAACGAATAGAAAATCCGTCTGTATAAATCATATATACCAATGGAAAACTTAAGCCGTTACAAGTCTATACCAATGGAAAAATATATCCGTTAGTATAGACTTGGTTTATACAAATGGTTTAGTAATTATCCATTTGTATATACTGTATGTATTCCAACGACAATTATTATGTATTTGTATAAATATATCTATACAGACGAATTAGTGTTCTATCTGTATAACTCCATATTTCTTAAACACTTTATTTTTTCTTTTTAATTTCAGCCTGCCTTATTTTTACTTCCCACCGCAAAGTCCCCAATTTCCCTCCCTAATTTCTGAGCTGCTTTCCCTAGTAGACCCAAGTCATGTTGACAAGCCACAAGCATCAACTCTCTAATTTTCGAGCTTCATTTCTGCTAAAACTCATACTCCCCTCCACGAATTCCCCATTTTCCCTCCCTAATTTTTGAGCTTCCTTCCTTGCAAATCTCCAAAATTTGTAATTGATTTTGCTAAAACTCAAAACCCATTCGAACCTAGTTGCAAAATTCATTTCCTCCACTCTAATCCATCAATGACAGAGGATTTCTTACAGTTGACCGCAGCCCCGCTTGCTCTCTCCTCTTCGTCAACCATGGTACCGCCGCCTCTCTCTCTGTTTCTATAAGATTCCATTAGGCTGTGCATGCTCATCTTTGCTATTACTGGTTTCATTTTTGTTTTTCGATTGTTTGGTTTCTGAGGAAAAGCGAGGATAAAAAGCAAGGATTTTGCTTGACTTTCAAGTCTCAAAGTTACATATGTGGGAAATAAATATTTAGATTGAATTTGAAATGTCTATAGTCCAAAATGACTTGTGTTGAAATTGTTTAAGTGGTTTGTTTGATTGCTTAGAAACAATTGAAACATAATGTCGAGTTTCTTGATTATTGATTTGCTTTCTTTTTCTGGTATGTTGCTCCTGTCTTAAGGGTGAATGATTGTTCTATTTAGAATTAGGATTAAACTTATATATACTTTCTATAGTGCGCTTGTTACACTAATTTTGTGATTGTCAAGTTGTTATTAAAATGGTTGGCATGGACTTACATTGGTTAACATATGTACACTACTTGGTGATGATGAAATCAGATTTAAGAAGGATGAAGCCAAATAATACATGTCATTTATGGTGCTTGAGTAGTACTCCAAAGTCTCCAATTGGGGGATAATGATGTTGTCATGGAATGAAAAGTTCTTTGGAATAAATTACTATTGTAAATTTGACAAAATTTTATGATTTAGGCTAATGATGTTCTCTACTCTTATTAATCTTCCATCAAGTAGTGGTTCTATTCCACATTAGTCTAGTTTGGGATTGGAGGCCCTAACATTCAATTGACTTCATGATTGCTAATCAATTAGGAAGGTAGGATGCCTTGACATGGTTACAATATTTTGGTTTTTTTGTTTCCCTCTTTGTTGTTCATGACCAAGTTTAGGGCAACAAGCAATGAAATAGGAAGTAAGTACATAGCGAACTATTCTTTCGCCTTTTACTAAAGAACACCGTGTGTTTACTGCATCAAGTGGCATACACTAATTTTTGGAGAGCTCTCCATTGGATGAGTTCTATAATTCTAGTTCAAAGTTTTATTTTTGGACTTCTCCATTTGCTGGGTTTTTGATATTTCGTATTGGTGATTTTGGCTTTGATTTTCTGTATTTTTCTTTTCATTATTGTTTTTATTATTTATTTAATTCTTGCCATTAGATATTCATTAAATCCAAAGAATTGTGTTGTGTTTGTATATTGGGAATTGAATGTAATATGTAGTTTAACAGAGTTTTATGTTATATTTAGCTTATTGGATTCTTTTCTATTTAATTTTTCATAAAAATTTTAGGATAATAAGTTATGGAAAGAGTATTAACCTGTTTTACAAAATTCTATGCAGATGTCCTTTAATGAAACGATGTCATTTCGCATCTGAAGCCTCTTTTCTTTCTTTTCATCTTCTTCATCCTTGTCCTTCCTTTTTTGTTGGATTCCCTTCATCAAAGGGTCAACTAAAATTGTGTATGGATGATAGCATACAATTAGCGAGAAAATTAGGTCTAATTGCACTCATTTTACAAATAGAAAGAAATTGCAAGTAACTTGATGAAGAAACACCTATATGGATTTGAAAAAAATATTTAATATTTGGATGTGTCTAAATGTGTTATCAAAAAATGAGACACCAACTTTTCTTTTTGCCTTTTCCTTTTCTTTATTTTTTCTACATTGGAAATGCATTTTGCAGTTTTTTTTTTTTCAAAATATTACAGAGTAAATTTCAATTCTTTTGTCATTTTTCTGGATAAGTTTAGAATTTTTGGTTGGTGGTTAACTCTAGATTCCTGGCTTCTTGTTATTAATTTTCAGGTCTGTTGAGGATCATGTTAAAGACAGTACTTGGGAGTAGCCTTTAGTTTTATTGAGAGAAGAAGAAGGTTAGTCAATACCTAATGCACTTGTAAGTTTGTTGATTTGTGCTATTTGTTCTTAATTCAAATGTAGTTTAATTTTGTTGCTAATTGCTTCTTCTTTTTCTTTCTTTCTTTTCGATTACAGTTTTTTTCTTTAATGCTATTGATCTGCTATTTTTGTTGGTTGGTCCTTTTGCTATGCAACTAAATAGTGGTTGTATTTTGCTTGGTTGAATAATAATTTGAATTTAATCCATGTATCTTTGATTAACAGCTATTATTGTTTGACTGATTCTTATATAGTTTCAACCCAAAATACAATTTTAGCTTAAGAATAGATTAAGGAGCAATTTATAAATGCTAGTCAACCTCGTTGGTTCTCTTGTCTTAATTTTTCAACTCAATTAGGCAGTGGTGTAACCTCCCCTTACTCTAAACTTTATACTACCAAAAAAAGAGAGAACATGGAAACTGTTTAGATTTTGTCAAAATTTTGAGGTTATATTGTTGCATTAGTTACATATCAAGTTTCACTTCACATATAAGGTTGTCAAACTAAAATTTTAGTTAAAGTTCAGACTTTACATATATAAATAAGCGTGCAACATCCAAAGTTTTTCCTCTTCATGTTGGCAGTTCCCAACTTCAATCTTCAGTGTTGAAACATTGTAGGTTGCTGGCATTGCTTTTAGCTAGTTCTATTTGTTGGTTTCTTTGTGGTAACTCTTGTTTGAGTTGACCAAAATACGAAATAAAAAAACAAAAAAAAAGTTTTAAGGATTTTTTTCAAGTTCATTGTGCTAGCACTACCAAAAAGTGTTAAAATCTTGCCTTCAAAATTCAAAACACCTTGACCTTGTATGTATGTGTGTGAATAGTAAGCAAGCCTAGTGGCCTTTTTTTCTTTTGGGCATTGCTATTCTTCATCTCCTAATCTTGTTAATTTAGGTAAGTTAATAAATACGTTGGTGATATGATTTTTAGTATTGTGTTTCTAGGAGAATCTTTTTCTTTTATAAACAAGATTTTTGGCATAGAGTTAGTTATATAGAATCTTTACCCAAATCACATTGTATCTCTATTGATGAAAATGACATGGTATCAATTATCTCCCTAATTGTCATTAAATTACAATTTCCCCAAATTCTGTTGTCTATGTTGATTCTCATATGCAAGGAGGAAACCTTAACTAGTCATCAAAGAGGAACCAAAATTCACTTTGGATTTCAAGAGAAATAGAGGTCCAAATATTTGTCAAAAATGCTCTGCATCTTGGTTGATGATCCCAAGTTCACATACAAAACTTAAACAAAAACACAAATGCAAGTTCTCGAACACAATTGGGAAAAGTAAATGTGCATAGTAGTTAATAATAGAATTCTAACTAATAAAACTATCCTACACCTTAATGGCATGCTTTCTCATGGGAAAATACATATCTCTCTTCTTCTCCCTTTTCGTCTTCAATGATAACAAACCAAAACAAAAGAAAAAAAAATAGCATATTTAAATAAGACTGAATTATTTCGTAAAGGGAATAATTATAGCTGACAAAAGCATACGACAAAGGCATTTGAACTATTCCATAATGGGAAAAAATTATGAGGAACTAAACCTTCTACCATGTGCTCATGTTTGTTTTAATGATTCTTTTATGAAAATGATGTACTATTGAATGTTAAGGCTCATGTTATTTGTTTTAGGGAAGTAAAATTTCCCAGAAAATGAATAAAGCTATTAAAAAAAATTATCCAAATGTTTACTTCAATTTTTTTTTTTTTTGTTTTCTCTATTTACATTGGTTTTAATTTGTTGGTTACAATTTTATCATTTTATCACTATGGATAAAACATGGATAAACTCGAAAGAAACCTCAAGTCCATATTACATAGAAGGAATTTTGAATTCGGCAAATTTCACATTTGAGAAATCTGCAAAAGCTGGGAAAATATTGTGCCCTTGTAGAAAATGTGCAAACTTAATTTGGTGTAGTAAAGAAGAGGTTGTTGATCATTTAGTAAACAAGGGTTTTCTTAGAAATTATAATTGGACTTCTCATGAGAAGGATTTTACAGTGGTGAATTCTAGTGAAAATCAAAATGGAAATAGCTTTTAATCATGATATCAGAGGGTTGCGACAAGATGCTTTTGCAGGAGTTAACATGGAAGATAGCATCCACAATGAGGTTGTAGATAGTTTCAATTTTGGAAGTGCTTTTAACCAAGAACCTTCCATGTTTGGAAATCATATGGATGGTTTTTTTAATTTGTTGAAGGATGTTGGGTAGAAATTATACCCCAATTTTGAAGAGAGTAAGTTAGTTGCTGTTGTGCATTTATTTCACCTAAAATGCTTAAATGGGTGGAGTAATAAGCCTTTCACTCAATTATTAGAGTACTTAAGCTTTTGCTATTGGTGGAGAATGTGTTGCTTAAGTCTTATAGTGAAACCAAGAAAATCATTAGAAGTTTAGGCTTAAGTTATGAGAAAATACATGCTTGCCCTAATGATTGCATGTTGTTTTGGAAAGATAAAGCTAATGATGATTTTTGTTTTGAGTGTGGTGCTTCGAGGTGGATTGTTAAGACAAATATTGAAGAAGATTCCATAGACTGCACAATGAAAAAGAAAAAGCCAAAAGCTGCTAACATCATGTGATGGTTCCCTTTAATCCCAAGATTACAGCGGCTGTACATGTCTTCAAAAATTACTGCTCTTATGAGATGGCATGATGAAGAACGGACTAAGGATGGACTTATTCACCATCCTGCAAATTCTATTGCTTGGAAACATTTTGATGAAAAATATCTAGAGTTTGCTACTGATCCTCGAAATTTGAGATTGGGTTTGTCTTTCGATGGATTTAACCCATTCAAGTCAATGAATGTCACATATAGCACATGGCCTGTTATACTAATGCCATACAACCCGCCTCCTTGGTTATGTATGAAGCAACATAAATTGATATTGTCACTATTGATTCCTGGCCTAAAAGTCCTAGAAATAAAATTGATATCTACATGCAACCACTCATTGAAGAGTTACAACGACTATGGGACACTAGGATTGAAACTTTTGATGCTTCTAAAAAGGAGAGATTCTAGTTGAGAGTTGCATTATTGTGGACCATCAATGACTCTCCAACTTGTGCAATTCTGTCTGGGTGGAGTACTAGGGCGGAAAAGGCTTGTCCTTGCTGTGGTTATAATACAAAATCTATATGGTTATATCATAGTAGGAATTATTGTTATATGGGCCATCAAAGATGGCTAGATTGAAGGCACAGGTATCAACATGATAAAAAATCTTTTGATGGAAATAAGGAGCTTCGAATGTCAACTGGTCGAACATTTGGATCAAAACTTTTGAGTCATGCAGGTGATGTGAATATAATGGAAGGGGAATCAAGTCAACCTTTGAAAAATATTAGCATTTTCTTCACTCTTCCTTACTGGTAGGACAATCTACTTCCCCACAACATTAATATGATGCACACTGAGAAAAATGTCTTCAATAACACTTATAGAACAATAACTAACCAAGATGGAAAAACAAAAGATAATTACAAAGCATGTTGTGACCTCCAAGACATGGGGTTGAGGGCTGATCTGCATCCAAAACCAAGATCAAGCAATAACTCTAAGTTGCTGCCCAAAGCTTGTTATCAAATGACTACAAAGGAGAAAGATGCCTTTTTTAAGGTTTTAAAGGACATTAAATTGCCTGATGAGTACTCATGTAATATCTCTTGTTGTGTTGAAGTTAAACAACGAAAGATAATAGGATTTAAAACTTATGATTTCCACATTCTTATGGAAGAACTTCTACCAATGGCAATTTGAGGATCTTTGCCTAAAAGAGTTGCTTCAATTACTATTGTGTTGTGTCACCTCTTCAAATGCTTGTGTGCAAAAGTTCTCAAAGAATCTGATCTTGATGAGTTAAAGTCTCAATCTGCAATAATTTTGTGTGAAATAGAAAAGATCTTCCCACCTTCATTCTTCATTGTGATGGTACATCTTGTCATGCATTTGGCAGAAGAGGTAAAGCTTGGTGGGCCAGTTGCTTACAGTTGGATGTACACCATTGAACGATTAGTTTTATTCTTAATATTTTTTTATTTTTTTTAATAATTTATTCACTAATTTCCAACATATCTAAAAAATGTTGACTAATTTATGATTTTCTTAATTGTTTCTAGGTTCCTCCTTACACTTAAGAATTATGTTTGTAATAGACCTCATCTAGAGAGATCAATTGCAAAAGCTTATTTGTCAAATGAGTGTTTAATTTTCTGCTCAAAATATTTTGGAGAGGGTTGAGACAAGATTTAATAGACCTTTACGTAATGATGATGCAGATGATAGGGAGCATTCTAATGAGTTAGAAGACAACCTAATAACTCCCTTAGGTCAACCATTGGAAAGGGCACAAACACATATGGCTGTTAATCTAAAGAAACAAAAGAGGGTGCGAAGAATAAAGCTTGATTCTCAGTCCTTGCTCCAAGTCCACCGATACATTCTTTTTAATACTCATGAAGTCACTCCCTTCATTAAGTAAGTAGGATAAATACATCTTCTTCTTTTTTCTTTTTTTCTTTTTTTTTTTCACTTTTATATGACTAACCTACCTATGTAATGTTTTTAGGCAACCCAAGGATTTTTTAAAGAAACAACATCGCTCACCTCGCCTATCACAGTATGAGATCGAAAGGTGTCATTCCTTGACATTTCATGAATGGTTTCGTGATCTGGTAAGTTTAAAACATAGAAACTAAATGGCATATGATTTTTGGCTTCACAAACTAATGTGTTGTTAAATTAATATTTTGTGTTAACAGGTTACAAGATTGGGACAACAAGGTTATGTTATTTCTAAAAAAATTAAGTGCCTTTCAAAAGGACCAAGTGATGTTGCTCTGACCTATTCTGGATATTTGGTAAATGGATTTAGATTCCACACCAAAACTCATGAGAAGAACTTGAAAACTCAAAATAGTGGGGTGGCAATTATATAAAAAATCACAAGTTATTCTAGTAGAAAGGATAATCAACCAGTGGAAGGAGAGATAAATTTTTATGGTGTGTTGCAGCAAACAATTCAATTGAAGTGTTCTGGCTTCTATAGAGTTGTGCTTTTTAAGTGTGATTGGGTGGACACCCAAAGAGGATGCAAGAAAGATGAATTTGGTTTTACCTTAGCAATTTCAATCATTTATCTCACATTGGTAGTAATCTTAGTGATGACCCCTACATGTTTGCTTCTCAGGCTAGTAAAGTGTTTTACATTGAGGATGCAAGAGAAAAAGATTGGCAAGTAGTCAAGCATGTGAAGGTTAGAAGTGCCTTTGATTTGGGAAAAGTGATACCTACTAGAGAATATGAAGTTGGTGGAACAGACATGGCATCCACTTGGGTTAGGAGAGATACCGAGGAAGAGGGGATTATTGTGACACCAGATATGGACGTTGAAAACTATGATGATGAAGAAATGGATGATTAAATTTGAGTTTGTAGTACAAAGTGTAGTTATTAGTTTCTCTAATTTTTTTCTATATGTTATTATTTTGTGTAATGTATGACTATAATTTGAAATATAATAGTCTAGTTTTTATATTTTTATTTTATTAGTATTTATTACTTTTTCAATTGTTTGAACATGGTTGAATGATTGTTGTAGATGCATTTATGTAATTTTTCTAAGTTCATAAACTTGGCTTGCTTTTTCAATATATATTTTGACATTAGAATATAAATTCTTATTATTATCATCTTTTTTCTTTCCTTTCAGGATGCCAAAGCACAAGCATCTCAACATTGTAAGGGTCTAGTCAAACAACCAAACTGAAGTTGGTTTACCTTATTCTCCATCCATAAACAATGAGGTTGAGCCAAGCCGACAACCTACGCCATCTAGAAACAATGTGGGTGAGGGAAACCATCAACATGCTGTCCTAGAAGAAACAAATACTAGAGGTAAAGTTTTTACTTAACTTGTTGTTTTTCAAATTTATAGGATGAATTTATGTGAATTTATAACTTGTGAATGCATTTATTATTAGCACTATCTCCACCACCTAGAAAGCCAAGAAGTCCAACATTGATGTCCCACATATGGGAGTTGGAAAAAGGTGTTAAGGTCAACCTCATATTTGATGCAAATTGCCGCCCAGTTGGTAAAGAAGGCTGCACCTTGACTTAATTCCTTGGTATTGTTGCAAGAAAATTAGATGTTGCACCTATTACCTACAGGGAATGGAGGGATATGCCTTAAATTTTTAAGGATGACATGTGGAAGATTATTGAGGTAAAAAAAAAAAAGCTTATGCTCTTAATAGATTAGTAAACTTGGTGCAAATTTGTGAGCTATAAGCTGTTGTGTCTATCATTGATGGTGATAGTCATGGTCAACTTAAGATTTTACTTTTGAAGATGGAAACTATTTAAACTATTCAGCCTGTTTCTATATCATCGTAGTTTAATTTGAATATTCTTTAATTACTCAAGGTCCAAAAAACTTCTTTTTTTAACTGTTAACCTTTTATCATTCATTAATGCCCATTGGGAGGAACTACTGATTCTAATAAGTTTCTATTTGGTGTAAGTTTTGCGGGTTGAAGATGACTTCCCAGTGTGATGATATTTTGCCATTGTTATTATTGGTCTTTTTGAATCTCATTTTGTTTTTGTGGTTTCTCATTTTAGTCCAAGTTCCTTATTGAGGAAAGCCGCAAAGAGCAAATCAAGAGTTGGATTATGACTAGTGTTAATGAACAATGGAAAAGCTATAAAAATGAGCTAAAAAGTGTACGATTTGATCCGTTACTAATAGTAGATGAAATGTATGAAAAGATTAATAATCCTCAAGTTGATAAGAAGCAATTTGAAGTGCTTGTTGAATATTGGCGTAGTGAGAAGGGGGAGGCATTACAATTTTGTTGTGCAATTGACATATTGCCTAATTTTCTATTATCACAAATAACTTATACCTTTTGTTTTCTTCCAAAGAATTAGCAAACAAAATAAAGAAAATAGGCAAAAACTTGAAGAGCCCTATTGCCTAGGCACCAAGACTTTTGCACGATTTGTCAATGAGAAGGTAATTGATTTTTTCTGCTCAAGCTACTTTATTAAAAAAAGCAGTGTACATATTGATCAAGTGATAATTGAAATTAATTTAGGGCATGATGTTAGATTAGTAATAAATTAAATTGTTATCATATCTTCCTTTTTTTTAGTATAATTGCTTAAAGGTATATTAGAATTTTATTATTTATTGCTTTTTTATTTTCTAGGAAAGCTCTGTTGAAGGAAGAAAGCCGTCAAGGGCTGAACTCTACATTCAAAGTCGAACAAAAAAGGAAAGGGGACCTGTAAGTGAAAAGGTAAGCCAAGTGATGGTTAGTAAACACAAACTTTGTGTTTTTAATGATGTATGCTTTTCTTCATTGTATAAAAAAAAATAATGAGTTATTTTTGGGTTAAATGTCATAGGAACAACTTAAAAACTACTTGAGTGAGTCTACTTCTTCTGCAAATGCATTAAAGGAAACCACATCTTGGCGAGATGATGTATTCTCTAACATGAAGGGATCTGACAAAAAAGGGAGGGTTCCTTGCTTAGGGAAGGTCCCAACTTCCAAGAAATCTATCCTTTCCACGTTTACAAACGGCAATGTTGAGGGAAGGTTGAGCGAGGTGGAGAATATGTTGAGTGGATTAATGCAACTAACGAAGGCAAGATTCCCAGATGAGAATATCATAGATATTCTATAGGCTGCCAACCAATTAAGTGCTGCCAACAGATTGGATAGACAGGTAAA